GAATTCTTGACGCATAAGTGCAATTTTGAAATTGTATATCGTGGATATTGACTTGAAATCATCGCTTTCGTCGTTGATTTTTTATTATTTATGCAATATTCGGTATACAATAATTAAGCTAGTGTTAAGTTCTGTTATATTTGCTACTGCTTCACCATTAAAAATTTAACAGGATCTAAGAGTTACGAAAGCGCTGAACATATAAGCACTCTAAAATTAAAACTATTGAAGAAAATAAATAGGTTGAATAATATCCTAATAACTATTGAGATCTACTTCGTCGTATCGAATATCCTGCTGAATGAGCGACTGCAAAACAAATTGAAGAATAAACACTGTGCTAACTTAAGATGCCTATAACAAAACACGTATCACGTATGTTATTTCGTCGTTAAAAGACGACTAATAAACGCTGCCACGCTTCTGGTCAATGTGAGCGCAAATGTATGAAAAAAATTAATTCGAAACCAGGACGAAATCAATGTCTCTAAAATGTCACACATACACACGTGCATTTCGTTAATTAGAAATAATCGGGTGGTAATTCCTTTTCGGCTAATTCCATGAAATGCTCAATTTGATTTAGATAAAATGCCAAAAGATATGTTCAAATCAATTCATAAAGACGAATATTAGCTTGTGTTGTATATTAGCTGGATACTTATGCCATGCGTTGTTCATAGAGCGCAAGCAGACTGTTGTTCACCTGTGTATCCTCAATACATTAGCATCACCGGTAACGTTTCTGCATACCTCGCTGTCGGACGGTCAGCGGAAACGTTCCGAAAATTACCATTACTTTACCATGTCGAATCGAAGACGAAGAAGGAAATAAAAAATTAATAATAAAACATAATTAGCCTGGAAAAAATTGCAGTTACTTCTTAGTAATCATTTTCCTCTCCATATTTTTAATGAGCCTGAATATTAGCAAACAACGATTAAACAAACTTAAACATATAAAGTCATCTTTTAAATCATATCGTTAATAAATTGTAAAAAACGCTCATCAGTTGTAAAATATTTATCAGCTGTAAACACGTTTATCATTTGTATTAACAACCAGTTGAAAATGACTTTTCATAAGCTATAAATAACCGTTTAACAGTTTCAAGAAAACGTTTATTAACTGTGAAATCATCTTTCCCGTATACAAACGTTTATCAGTTGTACAATGAATCGCGTGATCTGGTGTATATATACGCTGTCACAGCGGCACGCTCTCGCTCCAGCCACGCTATATACGGAAGATGTCGTTGGCGCTCTCAATGCGGGTCACTCAAAAGCGAGCTTATGAATGGAAGAACTTGAAAGGATATGATTGAGACTGAGAGACGGTGTCATCTTACCAGCGCACACGTGTCCTCTCTTGCAGGAAGTACGCGAAAAAACTTCACGGCTAAGGTACCCAATTGAACGGTTTTTGGTCGGTTCTTGGTGGGCCGTTTGTTCACGGGCGAGAATTCGGTGAATATTTGGAATGGGGGAAAGACAGGAGCGCACTAACGGATGTACTCAACTGCAATTGTTTGTGTGACGTCTGTGCTATTGTACGGCACTTAGGAAATGCTTCTCGTGCCTATTTTTTATTAATATGTACCGTAACGGACGTTGCTCCATCAAAATAAATAAATATCGTGCAATATGGAAAAATATCGTGCAATATGGAAATATTATTGCACGGAAGCCTTGAGAGCTCACTTATTTGCTTGAACCAATTAAGGTGCATAATTAACTTTTATTTAAAGAAAATGTACCTGAATTTAGATGACGAATACCATCGAATGTGCAATATTTGTTCCATGAAACTTTCTCTGCGTATGTACTGGAAATAAGAAACAAGAGTCATCAGTCCCGAGCCGAGGGAGAGTAGTATTCCATTAACCAAAAACAGCTGAGAAACACTGGTTAAAAATAACTTAGAGCAGTACTCCTAAAAAAATTCTGGTTAATAAATAATTTTGGTTCAATTTGCCTGATAAGCAGGACAATAACTGACTGCACTCACGACAGTAACTGACTGCACTCACGACAGTAACTGGCTGCACTCACGACAGTAACTGGCTGCACTCACGACAGTAACTGGCTGCACTCACGACAGTAACTGGCTGCACTCACGACAGTAATTAGCTGTACGATTTCATTGTTGAAATACAGTTTTTTTGTGTCCATTCTCAAAAAAGCTTCAGCGTAAGTTATCATTAAATAGTTTGCATTCATCGTTTGTGATGCACGTGCGTGAACGATTAGATAGAACTGATAGCTTCATCAATTGCAGGGTGCCCGTGCAGTGCCGACTACCAACTGACTACCTAACTGTCACACCAGTGACTGCGTGACTAGCGACTGTGTAACTAGTGACTGCGTGAATAGTGCCTGTCTGACTAGTGTCTGTCTGACTAGTGACGGCGTAATTTGTGACAGCGTTTATTGATAGGAATACAATAATATATAAATAGGTGTGGATTAAATAAGGTCGAACAAACGTGCGGGAGTTATCGTTGAAAATTACTTGCGAGATTTCCTAGGAAAAATTATACTTTCATATCAGCATTTTTGCGCAATGTGTCCAGTCATATTTGTCTTAAAAATGCGTTGTTAAAAATATTTATTTTCTCTGGGAAGAATAGGAAGCGATACTTAAATAAAAATTTAAAGACAAAAATAGCCTACTATTGACAATGATAGACAATTGATGATGATAATATTGATTTTTTGACTACAGATTTTTTCTTGTGATGCAGTGCTTTAGAAAAAGATTGCCATTTTTGTGCATAAAATATGGAAAGTATTCATTGAAATGAACGCTTCATTCAGCGATCAGAACGCGTTACTGAACAAACCAAGTTATTTCTATTCAAGTTTCATAGCTCTGAAATTTTTACCAAATGTTTGTGACCATCAAAATTTCGGAAATTTCTTAAATTTGTTGTTGGTCTAAGAAGATCTTTTCATTATTTTTCCCGGAATGAAAGCAACGGTTGGCCTGTGGGCGATTCTTTTCTCCTATTCCGCGGAGGCGGTATTCTCAGTGCATTATGTACTTCATTTGAGCCATTGAAAATGGTTTTCTGTTCTTTGGAAAGCTTTCATTGTCCAAGTTCATCATGTCCAGAGGAATCAGACGAGCGAAAAACTTTATTGGGTGAACTTGGCAGATTTTTACCGATTTTATAATATCGCTCAAAAAAGGAAGGAACTTTTCAAAATGCTACCGCCCCGCGTGTGAGCTTGAAAGACTCGAATTTTTCCCGCTGTATTGAAAATTCAGAGGTAGTCGGCAGCTGGCAATATTTGAACATGTTTTGCATATTTTTATAGCGCAATAACTCGTCTTTTTGGTGTGTTTTTACTCTCCTATAATACAGCATATGGGAAAATTGTAAAAGATTTTGCAATCGATCGTTTAATATAATTACGATCTGAAGCCATTGACTTTATTGCCTGAAACTTCTTCAGAAAAGATGAAAATTCATTTTAAGTATGCATTGAAAAAGTCAACAAGTTTTTGATGATCGTACAAACAAAGAAAAAAGTTTTTTCCGAAATTTTCGTGCACCAGTTGTACTTCTCGAACTTCTTAATTGCCTGATTTCGAAATGGTGATTCAAAAATCAATTATTTCCGTCATACATTTTTTGCAAAAAAAATCCCCTAAAAGTTCAATCAACATTTTTTGTACATTTTCGTAAGCACTTTATATATCTTATCACAAAATTCTAATTATCAGCTAAAAATTCTTATCCAATAATTCTAATTTTTCAGCTAAAAATATTTCAAACGTCTTATAAAAAGATCCAAATTTTTAGGCTAAGAAATACGGTAAATAACATTACCTTTAGACTGAGTGTCGTGATCAGCAATCGTTACGTCTTGCCGAAACTGTCAAACTGTCTGCCTACAGTCTAAACAATCGAACAATTGACAGTTCAGGTGGCTGGCTGGACAAGACTGTCGTAGAGGCTGCGGTCGGACAAGCGAAGAGCGTCTTTTGTTTGGCTGGACTCAGCGCTATTGAAGCCTCTTCCAAATGCCCACAAGAATGGCATTGCTTGCGATAATTTTCGATTGTTACAACCTGTGGCTTATATAAGCAGCCTGTGTTTTGGTATTTATCCACTTACGCTTATTACCTGCTCTACTTGAACTAAGGATTTTAAATAATGCGCCTGAAAATTACGAGCATTAAATTGTTTCAGTTTAAATTCAAGTTTTTCTGAGCTTATTTCGAAGTTCTGCTGGAATAATTAAATATATGCACTATAGATTCATACACATACATGATATTAACCTTTTTAGCTTTGCCTCCATTCTTAAATATTTCCCATAAACTGTTAATTAATAAGCCTTTGCAAAGGAGGTATTTGTCATCAAATCCCAATAAAAATAAAAGTGCCTGAGGACAATTATTGTTGTTATTTATGACTCTTGTTTTCCTGTAAAATATTGATGTTATTCGCGCCTATAATCTACTGCAAGGTTGATGAAGCTGAGATCTTTTATCGTGATTAACATCGTTAACTAATCAACAAATATTTAACCAACTGCAATTTCGTACATTGTTTTTTTTTCACTTAATAATGAAATAAGAACGTGGATTTTACTCATTATATTCACGAAGTTGAACTTCCTGATTAATTTATTTTGGAGTTTCATTTCAATAATTTTTATTAGAATCTAAGCGGTTGCTTGAAATTATTTTGTTAACAAAGAAATTGTACTATATTGCCAAAACAAAAATAGAGATTTAGTTAATCTTAACTATTAATCATAAAAATCGAGGAAAATTTCATCATAATTTATTTCAGAGCTTCCTTTTTATCCAACTGATACCTTCTGTTTACGGTGAAATTTCATTTTTTTGCACATTTTGTTATAAGGTTATCACGAAATCAGCCTTGTGATGATTTAATTGAACTTTTCAGTTTCAGGTGTAAATTATTTGTTTATATAAATTTTATTTATATAAATTTTATAATTATTGAACCTCTTTGTTGCAGGAGAGAAGCCCTTCAAGTGCGAGTACGAAGGATGTGATCGAAGATTCGCCAACTCATCAGACCGAAAAAAACATTCGCACGTGCACACCTCCGACAAACCGTACAACTGCAAAGTCCGGGGATGTGATAAGTCTTATACACATCCATCGTCTCTCAGAAAACACATGAAAGTCCACGGCAAGAGCCCGCCGCCCTCCGGCAGCGGATACGAAAGCGATGACTCCACAACAACAACCGAAACATCCGCGTCAAATTCCAACATTCCAAGCTCCACAACGCAATCATCGGGTCACAGCCAGACCAATATTAATGTTAGTCGTGAATGTTCAGTAAATACCGCTATTTCTTCAGTACCTATTGTTGGTAGTAACAACCATAACACCACCACAGCGCATAACGCAAATCTAAGTGAGTGGTACGTGTGTCAAAGTGCCGCTGGAATGCCCACCCCACCGAGCAACGAACACAGTCCAATTCCACCCTTGCCTGGAACAATTTTGCCCCCGTCAGCAGTTTACTAGCATTCAGCCTTAGTCTTCAGCTGAAATTATCTTTGGAGTGTCAAAGGCAAGCTGTTTGTAGGTGCTTGGCTATCGAGAATCCTGCTATTAGAATGTCACTGGGGCTCTGTGATCAATGACTGCCGCATTTGAAGAGAAAATTTGCGCTCAATTTAATACGTGGGCGTCGGAAATACCCACAATTTTTGCATTAATTACACCTGTGCGAGTAAACTGTTCTCATATATTATTATTTTGATGGACCTTTGCAAATCTTCGTAGATTATTCATTATTTCTCTTCGATTTAGCTAATTTTGATTTCCGACTCTGAATCAAACCATATTCCTTTTCTACGCACACTATTGGTCCAACTTACTCGTTGTTTATCGCACTGTTAACCAAGATAATTAAGTATGACAAATTTTGGAACCACGAGCGTGAGTGAATCTTTTTAGTACAATCCATGAAAAATTATTTTGATTATCAGCAAGTCAGAAATTGGGCTGTCTCAATTAAATTTTGTGCGAAAATAATTTTTTTCTGACGATAAAACTCAAAATTATGACCCTCTATGACTTTTGTGAGGTTCTCGTTACTTTCTTCATCTTCGTCGCAACGAGAAGTTGAAATATCGAGTGCACTTGTTTTTATATTTCACCAGCGACACATGATGGTGTCACGCGTGCATTATTAGACATTGTAGCTTGTGTAGGAAGGTAAACAAATTGTTTATTAGTGTATAAACGACGTGTACATTCTCATTGAACATATTGTACGTAAATAAACTACATCATTCTCGTAACATCGAAGCTGAAACTAAAATATTTGACGCATTGTTCAAAATTGTTACGAATTTAGGTTCAAAAATGAACGAAGATGAATCTTGCAAACAATGAAAGTGAGTTGAATATCTAATTATATAATATTTGTGTTTATGTCAGCCACAATTTCTATCATTGACAGACGGTTAATATAAAGTCAGGTTACATCGAAGAAAACTTTTCCATTGTAAATTTCATGGAATGCCTGCATAATTAAAAATAAACTTCTAAATTTCAGGATTAAATGAATTTTCTTTGATGAATTTTTCAAATAATGAATTTTCCCCATTTGGTGATTCTTTAACGCATATAATGAAATTGAAAAGTTATATGAACAGTAAAGTTTATCTCAATGAAACACTTTACATGCGATTTACAGCAGATTCAGGGTCATTAATAATATGTTGCGTATTCTCTCTTTAAATCGTTGAAAAAAGTATATTGGTTAAGAATTTCTGTTAATTTTAATGGATTTGATATTCACGACGCACTTGATCGCTGTGGTCTATATAGAAGCTCATTAATTTAATGGTTATAAAATGGTTAAGCTCAGTTCACATTAATTGGTAGCTGTTTGGGATAGTTTTTTTTAACAGAACATTGTATGAACGGACATTCATAGAGTATGAGGTATGGAATATAATACAAAGAGTATGACGCATTTTGTTCTCATAAAGTATGAGTTATAAAATGAGCTAGATTTAAGGGCACCACCAAAAGTGCTTTTATTGAACCCATTGCATTTCCTCATATCCCAAATATTTTTGTGCTTAATTTAATATTAATACAAAATTTACCGAGTAGCTGAAATTGTTCTTTGGACGTTTAAGGCTATATACCGCGGAGTCTGGGTCTGCCTTTTAGCGTTCAGGCATGGGCATTGTAACTAATAAGGAATTAATATTTTTCTACGGCTGATTTTTAGAGTTGCCTCTTCATATTACTCTTAATTGATAGAAAAGTAACATTAATTTTGGGATAATTAGAAATAATTTCCATCGTGAAATGAGGAAAAACATTATAAGCTGCATTCAACCTAACTGAATATTTACAATCTCTTCGTGTTAAAGGTACCATTTACACGAAGGACCTGAGAAACTCATTGCTCCGATTCGTTGGCAAGTATTATTTTTTTAATTGATGTTTTTTCTCACTGAATTGTTGCAATGGACGTTATTAGTGGAAACTTTCATGCGTTCTCTGTTGTGTTTGCATTAAAGGAATTTATTGCAAAGATTTCAATCATCTTGTAAGATGAAGAGCACGGAATTGAGCCAATGTAACTCACTCAACTTGAGAGCTGCGACACCTCGGATGGGCTTGGTGGGTTCCTATAGGAACTTTTCACTAAACACCTACACCTTCACTCCACTCGTAAATGCGATAATAATATGAATTTTTTCATGCGTATACATCTTATTCGCAATAAGTGGACAGTAACAAAAGATATGTGAACTTTGTATCAAAAGAGTTATGATGAAGAAAAATTTTGCTCATTGCTGCTAATGAATTAGTCGACATATATACATTTTTTGAGGTATTTATCGAGTTCACAATTTAAAAAAAAAACATGTAATGCCTCTATCCGGTTCCTTGTGTTAGATATTTGCGACCAAATACCAGTAATTATCTAGCATGCCCACATGTAGAGTGGAAATACTGAATACTTAGAGTTCCGATAATGACATTGTGCAAGAAATGAGGGTAAACACACGACGTAAATTACTTGACCACCGCTCCAGTGATGGCCAGTGGTCGGTAGGAGCTAATTAGCTCTAGCCTATACCGCTGGCCATTGGTCGGCCACCTGTAAACCGTCTGTTGCATAAAAATGCGTCCCGGCGCAGATATCACCTTACACAAGCTATATGTTCGCGAGTATATATATGGCAACGTCTAGATGTGAGTTGTGAGCAAAGATTTCACGCTATATTGTCTCAAATAACTTGTTTCAGATTTTGCCGCACGCTCAAATAACCGCCCTCTTTAATTTAGTAGTAATTAATATCAATTAATGGGTAATAATTTTTTAACGCAAATGAGTGTTACTGGTACAAGACACTGCCAGTATTACGCATAGACATCAAATTCATCACACTGGGTGTGTTGATATAAGAACCTCATTATAATGGTAGGAATTCTGTACCTTAGATTGCATTTGTAGGTTAAATTAATTGATTTTATCTCTGGATGATTGTGTACCTGGCGGGGATTTGATTGCTGAAATACAAATCTTGAATTATCGTGCAGGTTACAAATAATAAATTTCGTGATTGATATTTTAGTTCGAGTGAAATCTTAATTCCTGTTCAAATATTTATTTGAATAGCGAAACTAAATGAAATAATTCAACACATTATGCCATTAATTCGTATACATATGAGATATGGCCTTTAAATTTTTTGGAATTTGTTGATGAAATTCCCGTTAACTTCTCCCGTTTCTTTGATGAAAAAATTCCCATTTCTTTGATGAAATTCTCGTTTCTTTTGATTTATAATGAAGGGCATTTTATGTTAGTAGCAGGAATATTTCATACCGAAAATATTTCCCCCATATTCAATTCCAGAGAAATTTCCGGAAAATCCAACACGGAACTTTAGAAGAAAAAATGTTTTCGTTTATTTTACTTTGCCAAATTAAGGTAAAAAAATATTGTTAAATTAAAAATTGTTTACCAAACACTTCTTCTCAATCCCAATGAAAATCTGACGTAAATTCTTATTCTAATATCTGACTGAACTTTTTTATTTCATCTCTATAATTTTGTCTATAACACTGGGAAAAATGAGTGCGTCTTTTTTTATATAGCGAAGCACTTAACTAGAACCCTGCGATTGTCATCCTAACCCAGTTAGGCATGGCAAAAGTTCGTATCAGTGCTACGTCTCCTCTTTGTTCTTACTATGGGTAAAAAAAGTGTTTCAATATTTGGACAATATAACCAGCTCATATTTCTGAGCGGAAACAGAACTGAACTGCATGATTTAACCTTACTAAAATTTTTATGAAAGCCCATTGGTATCGTAGGGAGTTTTCTGCAGTTGCCTTAATGATATTTGTAAGTCTTACATGTGATGTAATGAAGCATATTACGATGCTTTTCAATAAGATGTTCCTGTAAATATATTTTAATTCGATGGTGTATTTATAATGTCTACAAGATGTTCACAAACTTCTCTTGATTGCAAGAGGTAATGTGTTTTGCAAGTGATCGTACGCAACTGTTTTCAAATAAAATGTTTGCAATTTGTATTTTGTTTCAATGCAATTAAGTTTCTAAAAAATCCTGTATATTTTTTTTCGGTGAAATTCAATTGTTCCTCTTTAAAATAAAGCGAAAGAACAGTTCAATATATGTTCGAAGATAAATGGATCCAATATGTACATCACATGCAGGATAAACGATAAATGACTAATCACTCAGTTATCGCACCCGTCTTTCGCTCAGAACTTCAATGTTTTATTATTACAGAACGTATTATTTCGAATTCAAGAAAAAATCAAATATAAAGAATCAATAATAGCGTTAACTCTCAATTTTAAGTGACTCCAAAATAATAGCTGAATTAAGTAATCAATTAATTAACCTGTAGAAGCAGCGGAAAAAGGAAAAAATTAATTATGTAAAGATAATTTTGGAATCGAATTTCATTTAATATTTATAACATTGTTATGAATTTTCAAATATATAGATAAGCAAGAAACTAGAAGTTAATTCAATAGCATTTTTTAAAACTAATTTATGCGTAGTAGTATATAACGTATAATATCGAATTAGTTATCTTAAGTAGATGAATTTAGGTTATTCAGATGCTATACCCAAGAAATATAATGATTACCTATTTACTCAGGCAAGCATAATGATTGCATTTTTACATTGACAAGCAAAATGATTTAATTTTTACCTTGGCAATCAATATGATTGCATATTTTCTAAGGTAGACATAATGATTACGTATATTCCCAGTTAAATATGCTGAACATTGAAAAGATATATAAAAGAGTAGGTAAATTTGAATGTGAAAGAACATAAAGTAAACTGTGAAATCGTTCGTGACGTCACTCTGGTGTTGCTCGCATTGGCAGACGCGAGAAGATATTATCGCTCAGGTTGAATAGGTCGTTTGTCATTGGCCGGCGCAGCGGGGTGCCGTCCAATCAGAGCCTCTTGATCACCTATTGCAACACATGGATTAATTGAGTAGCGCAAAGAGTGCACGGACTGGCAGGAATGCCGGCTCTTCTTACTCGATATACATTCTGTGCCTCGACGTACACTGCTCTTCTTACTCGATATACATTCTGTGCCTCGGCGTATACTGCTCTCCTTACTCGATATACATTCTGTGCCTCGGCATACACTGCTCTTCTTACTAGCCGTACATTCTGTGCCTCGACGCACACTGCTCTTCTTACCCGATATACATTCTGTGTCTCGGCGTACACTGCTCTTCTTACTCGATACACATTCTGTGCCTCGACATACACTGTTCTTCTTACTCGCCGTACATTCTGTGCCTCGGCGCACGCTGCTCATCTTACTCGATACACATTCTGTGCCTCGACGTACACTGCTCTTCTTACTCGCCGTACATTCTGTGTCTCGACGTACACTGCTCTTCTTACTCGCCGTACATTCTGTGCCTCGGCGTACACTGCTTTCCTTATGCTCGCCGTACATTCTGTACCTCGGCATACACTGCTCTTCTTACTCGCCGTACATTCTGTGCCTCGGCGTACACTGCTTTCCTTATACTCGCCGTACATTCTGTACCTCGGCATACACGTACTGCTCTTCTTACTCGCCGTATACATTCTGTACCTCGACGCAAATTGCCCTCTAACTTTACCGCATAGACCGCGCACGGATTTTCAGTGACGTGAACTGATGCCAGGTGATGATGTGCCGTGAACTGGTGCCATGTGCTGGTGTGACGTGAACTGATGCCATGTGCTGGTGTGCCGTGAACTGATGCCATGTGCTGGTGAGATATGTGAACTCACATTGTAGTCACCAGAAGAAATTTACTCATATTGTAGTACATTTTTTCTATACGTACCATATGGTAGTGGCAGGTGGAAAACTATATCCTGCAGTAGCAAGCCTTTAATTGAATATATTTGAGAACTCAATTCTAGTAAACTTTGAGCAATAAACGGTCCTTAATGTTCCTTGAAAATAGATTGACGGTGCAAGAGAACGAGAACAACAAAATTCCTATTAGTTTTTCTACTAAAATGTCTGTGGTTCTCGAATAGTTGAAAATATAATCATGGTTTGTAATGAATACTTCTATTTGTAGATCCGGATTTATAATTTGTCTTTGCCATTTGAGCACCTAGTAGTTTTCCGCATTATAAATTCGATATTTGTTCAGCGATGCATACTATGTTGTCGTTTCAGAATTCATCAATGGCTAGGCTGTAAGTGATTTAGTATTTAGGCAGTGATTTTCTTTGAAAAATAGATGGATGCTGAAAACAGCTATTAATTTTGACCTGAATATTATCTTCCCGTCGTCCTATATACGGCCGCTCTCCACGTACGAAAACAACAATAAATAGAACGACACGATGAGGAATTAGAAAATAGGTTATTTCAATTTCGGAGAATTAAGTAATTATTTCTAACATAGAAAATAGGTTATTTCAATTTCAAAGAATTAAGAAATTATTTTCAACATAGAAAATAGGTTATTTCAATTTCGAGGAATTAAGGAAGTATTTTTAATATAGAAAATAGGTTATTTCAATTTCGAGGAATTAGGGAATTATTTTTAACATAGAAAATAGGTTATCTCAATTTCGAATAACTGATGAATCAGTGAGAGTTGTCAATGGCAACCGAACAGGAGAAAGTATAAACTCCTATATATAGGACACTTTTGTCGTTCAAGAGGCAGCGTGTGAAACTTCCAAGACGCCACTTACTTCTCTTTCTTGTAGAAAAGAAATAAATTTCTTAAAATTCTAGTTTTCTTCAGGTTTTATAGAGAAGCTTTGGTCACGGCGGCGACCACCAACACAGGCGTGAGTATCACACCTCGGCCAGCATTTGTTCGTTGTGAAATAGTGCCAAAATATTGCCCTTTAGAAATTCTCCGGCTGAATGGCTTTAAGTATTTATGACTGCCACTTACGTTCAATACAACCTCAATGAACAGGTGCTCGTGCATAGACTCGGCCATGAACAGCAGGCCAGGCTGGAACTTCTATTCGTCTCGGGGTAGAAAATTTTTGGTGAATATAACGTGTTTTTTAAAACATCACTCACACGATACAATTGTTTTTTAATATTTTCTAAAATTCAAAAGTGATACTAATTTCAAGAAGACATATCCTGCTTGGATGTTCATGTACAACAACAATCAATAAGAAAGAATTTTAAAATGAAAATTTTGCATATCAGCAGGGTTGCCAGACGGCCTAGAAACGGCCAAGTCCGCGAACAAAAAAGGCCAAAGGAGGCATATAACTAACTATATATTAGTATATCTGTAAGTTCCGGTGTAAAAATTTCAATTCTTTTTGTTTGCAACTTTTAAAATTTAATTTTGAAGTAACCCTGTCATAATATTTTAGCTGGCCAACGTAATTAAAAAAAGTAAATCGCGGAACAACGAAAAAAAAACAGTCTGGCAACCCAGATCATCAGAATGAAATTTTATAACCGTGTCAATTTAATTCCACAGTTTACATGCACGTCGATTTTTTCACATACAGGTCGATTATCTACGTACACGCTAATTAATTTCTTACACCTCTATTATTTCACATACACTTCCATAACTTCACATGCATAACCATTATTTCACATACACTTCCATAACTTCACATGCATAACCATTATTTCACATACACTTCCATCACTTCACATGCATATCCATTATTTCACATGCACTTTCATATATCTTCAATGCACATCATCATTTCACATACACTTCCATAACTTCACTTGCATAACCATTATTTCACATACACTTCCAGAACTTCACATGCATATCCATTATTTCACATACACTTCCATAAATTCAATACACGTCGTTCACTTTGCGCTCAATTCCGATCGATCGCAACTCAATCCATCAAGTGCGATGGAAATTGAAAATTACAAATGGCGTCAGCAATTTAAACAATTTGTCCGACCCTCCTTCTTATTGACAATGTTTGGTACCAAACTAATCGAAAATATTAAGTTTGGCAATAAGAAAGGTATCGCGTGCGGTCTCGGATTAAAGCTTTAATCGACATCACTCGCTCATATACTTGTACAAAATCTTGGCCGTCTTATCGACGGTCATTACATGGCCGGCGTTTTGCCATCGATAACCAGCAATCGAGTGTAAATATGAACACATAATGGTACCAAAACAATGACGAGGAAGAAACTCACTGCGTTGTTCCTACAAAGTACATACACTTAAATAATACAGTATATGCAAATTTGATCAGATTTTAATAGTCGTATGGAGACTTAGGGTAAATTCTTTAACCCTAATTCTAGTAAGTAAATTAAGAAATTGAGTTTTCTGAAAGTAAAATGTAACAATCATCTATCAAATGTAGATATTAACAGCTATTTGCAGATGTCACCAGCTACTAAAAACGTCAGCTGTAGAACATCAGCTGCAGAACAGCAGCTGTAAAGAACACCAGCTGTAGAGAACAGCAGCTATAGAGAACAGCAGCTAGAGTGAACAGCAGCTGTAGAGAACAACAGTTACAGATCAGCAGCTATGTAAAACACCAGATGCAGAGAATGTCATCTGTAAAGAACACCAGCTGTAGAGAACACCAGCTGTAAAGAACACCAGCTGTAGAGAACCCCAGCTGTAGAGAATACAAGCTGTAGAGAACACCAAGTGTAGAGAACAGCAGCTATAGAGAACACCAGCTGTAGAGAACAGCAGCTGTAGAGAACAACAGCTGTAGAGAACAACAGCTGTAGAGAATACAAGCTGTAGAGAACACCAAGTATAGAGAACACCAGCTGTAGAGAACACCAAGTGTAGAGAACACCAGCTGTAGAGAACACCAGCTGTAGAGAACACCAGCTTTAGAGAACACCAGCTGTAGAGAACACCAGCTGTAGAGAACACCAGCTTTAGAGAACACCAGCTGTAGAGAACACCAGCTATAAAGAACACCAGCTGTAGAGAACACCAGCTATAGAGAACACCAGCTGCAGAGAACACCAGCTGCAGAGAACACCATCCGTAGAGTACACCAGCTGTAGTGATCACCAGCTG